TTTTTTTTATTTTTAGTGGAGATGGGGTTTCACCAGACTTGTCTCAAACTCCTGACCTCAAGTGATCCACCTGCCTCAGCCTCCCAAAGTGATGGGATTACAGGCGTGAGCCACAGTGCCTGGATTTTTCTCTATTATTAATGTGTAATTCTTTAGGTATACGATGAGTCCTTTGTCAGATACAGGTACTGCAAACATATTCTCCCACTCTGTGGCTTGATTTTTCACTTGCTTAATGATATCTTTTGATGACATATTCTTGATCTTAATATAGCACCAACTTTTCACACTTTATATTTACCTACTTTGAGATCCTAATTAATCTTTGCTGACATAAAGAAATTTTTTTTCTAAAATGTGGTTTTGTTTTTACACATTTAGATGAGCAATTTATCTGGAAATGACTTTTGTGTGTGGTGTGAGGTAAAGTCAAGATACTTTTTTCCCTGATACAGAAATTAATTGACCAATACCATTAATTTGACTTTCCTTTCCCTATCATAGTGCTGTATCACCTTTATCATAATGTTGATCATAGCATATGTATCAGGCAGTTTCTGGACTGTCCATTTTCACCCACTGGTCTATTTGTCAATCCATGTGCCAATATCATATTATCTTAACTGTTACAGCTAGGTAACAATTAAGTTTAATTCCTCCAGATTTTCTTTCTTCATCATCATGATTCTCTTGCACATGGCTTCATCTTGCATTTGTATTTGTATTTCAGTTGAGTATCCATTAATGTTCATTGGCCATTCATATTTCCTCTTCTGTAAGCTGGCTGTTCAGGTTTTCAGGACATGAATTAGTTGCCTTAGCTGTCTTTCTCAAACTGATTAGAATTAGATTTTTCTGTATTAGAAAACATGCCCTTCATCTGTCAAATGCTGTCATTTGCAAAGTGTTTTTTTAAAGTGTGCTAACAATTTCTTTCTTTCCTTTTTTTTTTGAGACAGTCTCGTTTTGTCTGCAGTGCAATAGCATGATCTTGGCTCACAGCAACCTCCGCATCCTGGGCTCATGCAATCCTCCCACCTCAGCCTCCCAAGTAACTGAAACTACAAGTGTATGCCACCATGCCTGGCTAATTTTTTATTATTTTTTGGTAGAGACAGCATTTTGCCATGTTACCTAGGCTAGTCTTGAACTCCCAGGGTTGGGCAATCTACCTGCGTCAGCCTCTCCAAGTGCTGGGATTATAGGCATGACCTACCATCCCCACCCTGTACGTGTTTGTGAGAGACAGAGTCTTACTCTGCCAGGCTGACAGTGGAGTGAAAAGATCACCACTCACTGCAACCTTGAACCTCCCAGGCCCAAGTGATCCTCCTGAATAGCTGGGACCATGGGCACATACCACCGTGCCTGGCTAAGTTTTAATTTTTTTGTAGAGACAGGGTCTCCCTATGTTGCCCAGGCAGGTCTAGAACTCTTAGCTTCAAGCCATCCTCCCAGCTTGACCTCCCAAAGTTCTCAGATTACAGGAGTGAGCCACTGCTCCTGGCTCTCTACTTTTTAATGCATTCCAACACATCAATTTCTTTTTTTCCTTCTAGGTTTTGGTTTCATTCTTAGAAAAGCCTTCTTCATGCCAAGATGGCATTCCAGTGTTGGCAAGATGATAAGACAAGAGGTAAAGATAGATTTTAACATTATTTTTACATTACTTTTTTTCCTTTGAGACAAGTTCTCACTGTGTTGCCCAGGCTAGCGTGCGATGGCACAATCACAGGTCATTGAGTGGCCTTGACTTTCCAAGCTTCAAATGATCCTTCCACCTCAACCTCTCAAGCAACTGGGACCACAGACATGCACCACCAAGCCTGAATAATTTTTTTTTTTTTTTTTTGTAAGGACAGCATCTCACTATGTTGCCCAGGCTGGTGTTGAACTCTTGGGCTCAAGCAATTCTCCTGCCTTGTTCTCCCAAAGTGCTGGGATTACAGGTGTGAGCCACTGCTCCTGGTCACTTACTTTTATAGTGTTTGACATTTTCATAATTTGCACATTAACTTAAAAGTAATTTTTTAGGCCAGGCACAGTGACTCACACCTGTAATCCTAACACTTTGGGAGGCCGAGGTGGGAAGACTGCTTGAGGCTAGGGTTCAAGACCAGTTTGGGGAACAAAGCGAGATATGATTGGTCTCTATGAAAAAAAAATTTTAAGATATTTTTGCTACTTATCTCCCACAAGAAGGAGAAAAAAAATTTTTTAATTAACTAGGTATGGTGGCATACACCTGTAAGTTCTAGCTACTCGGGAGGATGAGGCAGGAGGATCACTTGGGGTCAGGAGTTCAAGGCTGCAGTAAGCTATGATTATGCCACTGCACTACAGCCTGGGAGACAGAGGGAGGCCTTGTCTCTTAAAAAAGAAAGAAAAACAATTTCTCTAAAGAAGAAATTTCAGTCATTTCCCATTCCAAAATATTGATCCAATAACTTCTTCTGATACTTTTATAATTTCAGTAGCCAAATTTAATCTTTTTTTTTGTTTTGAGACAAGGTCTCACCCTGTCATCCAGGCTAGAGTATGGTGGTGCAATGACAGCTCACTACAACCTCAGCCTCCTGGGCTCAAGCAATCCTACTGCCTCATGCTCCTGAGTAGCTGAGACTATAGGCATGCAACACCACACACAGCTAATTTTTTCTTTTTTGTAGAGATGGGATCTCGCTATGTTACCAGGCTGGTCTCAAACTCCTGGACTCAAGCAAAATCCTCCCACCATGGCCTCCAAAGTGCTGAGATTACAGACAGGAGCCACCATGCTTGGCCATCAGTTTTCTGAGAATTTTAAAATTCTCAGAAAACTGAATGTTGGTTCAAGCTGTATATAGCTATACAAATACAGAGAAAAAGAAAAAAATTAACTTTCATCCTAAATCAGAACCTAATTAGTATGGCTTTCAGCATGATATTTATTTTTATTTTGTTTTTTCTTTTCAGCATGATACTTTAAATAATTTTTTAAAAAATCATTAAGGAGGCTGGGTGCAGTGGCTCACTCCTGTAATCCTAGCACTTTGGGAAGCAAAGGCTGGCAGATCACCTAAGGTCACGAGTTCAAGACCAGCCTAGCTAACATGGTGAAACCCCCATCTCTACTAAAAATGTAAAAATTAGCTGGGCGTGGTGGCAGGTGCCAGGTACTCGAGAGGCTGAGGCAGGAGAATCACTTGAACCCGCGAGGCAGAGGTTGCAGTGAGCCGAGATTGTGCCACTGCACTACAGCCTGGGCAACAGAGTGAGACTGTTTTTTAAAAAAAATCAAGATTGTGAATATAATAAATAGAACACATTACTGAAACACTTCACCTAGGTAAAGCTTAACTGTATGGCATACTTTGTATTTGGAACAAAACACAAAACAGACCTTCAGCAGTTAAAAAAAGAAGATCATAAACTTCATTTTACTAAAGAGATGGAGTCTCACCATATTGCCCCGGCCAGTCTTGAACTCTTGGACTCAAGAGACCCTCCCAGCTCAGCCTCCCAAACTGCTGGGATTATAGGTGTAAGCTATCATGCCTGACCATAAACTTCATTCTTTAGAATAAGAATGCAGCCGCCTGTCTATTTTCTTTCACTCTGTATAGAGTTCTACAACTTTTTTTTAAAGAGACGAGGTCTCACTGTGTTGCCCCGGCTGAAGTGCAGTATTCACAGGCACAACGACAGCTAGCACACTACAACCTCCAACTTTTGGGCTCAAACCATCCTCCTGCCTCAGATTCCTTGGTAGCTAGGATGGGACTACAGGCATGTATCGCTGCATCTGGCTTACAATTCTTTCACTTCATCTTATCCACTTTTATACCAAAACGGTTGGAGAGAAAACTTTCAGAATCCAAGCCACTACAATCACATGCCACCTAACATTTTGGTCAACAACCAACTGGCATATACAAAGGTGGTCCCATAAGATTACAATAGAACTGAAAAGTTCTTATTGTCTAGTGACATTGCAGTCCAATTACTTTATTTCTTTAACAGTAATTTAGAGTAGTCTAAGTATACGCTGTTTATAACATCTACAGTAGTATACAGTGATATCCTAGGCCTTCACATTCACTCACCACCTACTCACTGACTTACCAAAGCAACTTTCAGTCCTAAAACCTCCATTTATGTTAAGTGCCCCATACAGGTGTACCATTTCTTATCTTTTATACTGTATTTTTACTGTAACTTTTCTATGTTTAGATCAAGCTTTCCCAACGCACAGCCAGTGGGCCCCATGTGGCCCACGACAGCTTTCAGTTACACTTTTTGTTTTTCCTTTTTGTGAAGAATGGGGTCTCGCTATCTCACCCAGGCAGGTCTCAAACTCCTGGGCTCAAGCTATCTTCCTGTCTCTGTCTCCAGAAGAGCTGTGATTACAGGCATGAGCCATCACACCTGGCCCTGAGGATGTCTTTGAATGCAACCCAACAGAAATTCATAAACTTTCTTAAAACATTATGAGATTTTTTTTTCCTTTTTCTTTCCCCTCAGCTTATCAGCTATCGTTAGTGTATTTTACGTGTGGCCCAAGACAATTTGTCTTCTTCCAACATGGCCCAGGAAAGCCAAAAGATTGGACACCCCTGGTTTAGATACACACATACTTACTACTATGTTATAACTGCCTACAGTACTCAGTAAAGCAACAACACTGTACAAGTTTGTAGCCTAACAGCAACAGGCTATCCCATATAACCTGGGTGTGCAGTAGACTTTACCATCTAGGCTTACATATCTAGGCTTGTGTAAGTATACTCTCTGATGTTCCCGATGTTCCCACAAGCATGAAATCGCCTAACAATGCATTTCTCAGAACCTATCCCTGTCATTAAGCAACACATGACTGTATTTTGTAGGGTACTGATTTTTATTGACCTGTCAATTCTTTGACATATTTTTAGTCACCTTTCCTTCTCATATATCTCAGTAGCCATTCCCAACTTCTATTTAGACTTCCTACATAAAAGCTACCAATCCTACCACTTACCCTCAGCAAATGAACTCACCTCCTAATTCGTTACAATCGTTCTTACAAACTTATCTATATTAATGACTTGTTTTGAGGTAGGGTCTCCCTTTGTTGCCCAGGCTGGAGTGCAGTGGCACAATCAAAGTTTACTGCCTGCTCTGACCTCCTGGACTTAAACAATCCTCTCACCTCAGCCTCCAAGTAGCTGGGATGACAGGCATGCACCATCATACCTGGATAATTTTTTCTATTTTTTTGTAGAGACGGGGTCTCACTATGTTGCCTAGGCTGGTCTTGAACTCCTGGGCTCAAGTGATCCTCCTGCTTCAGCCTTCCAAGTGTTGGGATTACAGGTGTGAGTCCCGTGCCTTTATATCTTTCCCCGCGCCTTTATATCTTTAATTATTTCCTTCTGATCTTAGAAGAAAAGTTCTTTCCCCAACTCCAGTATAAGGATAATACCTTAATTTAGGTATGGTGAAGGAGGAAAGACCAAAAATGGGCAAGACTCATCAACTCATGGTCCTGCTCAGGGACCTTGCTCCATAACTTATTTCCCATCTCACTTGGATATTCAAGCTCACTCTCTTGGTTCTGCCATTCAGCCAACAAATATATTCTAATGTCTTCCATTCTTTACAAAAAAAAAAAAAAAAAAGAAAGAAAGAAAAAATACTTCATATTTTACCCTATTTATCAACTCCTCTCTCCCTTCCCTGCCTATGGAGCAGTCAACATTCCTACTTCTTTACCTTCCATTCATTTCATAGCCCCATCTCCTAATGCTTTATGACTGTGCCTTTAACTGAAGCTATTACAAAAATTAACACAGTCATACTGTACTACACCAAACAAGCAGAATGGGGAAATTTATGATTCTACAAATACTACAGTTTTGTCTATGACTATGCCTACTGATGAAAATTTGGACTGCAAGAGAGATGTGGTGATGAGTTTCTCCTTGGCTTCAAAGTGGAGAAAAATGAAAACTGTAAATAGTAAAGCTTCCTAAAATTTTCACAAGTTGGGCAGAGGATTAGTGTATTATATTTATGTGCGCAATTATACTGCTTTAAAAAGTTTCTCCAGCCTGGGCAATATAGCAAGACCTCGTCTATACTAAAAATAAATAAATAAATAAAAATTAGCTAGGTGTGGGTGGCATGAACCTGTAGTCCCAGCTACTCAGGAGGCTGAGATGGGAAGGCTGCTTAAACCCAGGTGTTCAAGGTTGCAGTGAGCTATGATCACCACTGCACTCAAGCCTGGGCAACAGAACAAGATCTTGTCTCCACACAAAAAAAGTTTCTTATACTTATGTGTTAATACAGTGTTTAAAAGGAAGAAAAGCCAGGTGTGGCGGCACATGCCTGTAGTCTCAGCTACTCAGTAGGCTGAGGCAGGAGGATAGCTTGAGTCCAGGAGCTCAAGACCCCAAGTCTGGGCAAAATAGCAAGACCCCCATCTCTTTTTTTAATTTTAATAAAAAGAATAATTTCTTCTTATATCTCCACTAAAGACTAGAATAGATTCCTGGGATTGACTTTCACTCTACTTCTATGGAAGCTAATAAAAAATTAGTGTTATAATATCTTTCACGAAAATGATCTACTATCTTAAGATAGGTACTAAGTAAAAAAGCAAGGAACTCAGGAACTAAATATCAGGCTTAAGACCTTAATTAAATTACTTAACTTTCTCACCAATAAAGCAGGGTAATACTGTACTTCAGAAGTACAGTTTAATTCTGAAGATTAAACAAGATAACACATATAAAAGCACTTAACACAGTTACAGGCACATGTAATACTTCCTTCATCTTAGCACAGTGCCATACTCCCAATAAGCATACAACTATTAAGAAGCAAAAGTGTACTAAAAAGGGGCAATATTAAAGCTGTGTGAACTAAGTCAAACAGAAATTCTGACAAAAGCACCGTCTGTTCATACTAACAATCTTCAAATGAAAAGCTCCAATTAGAGGTGAAAGTTACTAGAAGACATTCAAGTATTTTGAGCAAATTCAACTAGTAAACACACTTTGATCATATTCCCAATAATTTCTTCTGAAGAGATTACATATGAGGTACAAGATTACATATGATTTAATAAAATGGACAGAGAGCACACACAAAATTGCAGTCTCCCAGGCTGAGAAAGACAAATCTAATTTGTTCTTCCTGCAGAGGAATTTATCTTAAATGAACAAAATTTCCTTAGATATACACAGAAGAAAATCAATGTATCAAAGGGATTAAGAATAAAGGAAGCTTTTTTCCTAAATCCAAAATAATAATATGCATGACCTAAATGAATCTTCTCCAAGTATTTAGGGGGGAACCTCCACTTTGTTAGAATTGGTGCAAAGGAGCTGGATTTAGCAGAATGCAGCCCATCAACTGCTAATTCTGAAAAAATATATACATATTCTAGGGGTGGAGAAAGCAGGCAATCTTCCCAATAAAACAACTGCCATAAACTGTACCTACATAAGAACGTACACATCTGTTAAAATATCAGTTTACACTGTTAAAGCCAAATTACAGATCAAGAGGAAGTATTTAAGATCTAAAAAATAAATTACGTTCTACTTCTGGTCGCATTTTGCATGGGCGGCTACTGGAGACTACGAGTTATGGACGCGGATTCAAGACAAGGAGGACTGAATAATAAATCCAGTGTTCACATTCAAATGTGGGGGAGAGAAGAGGCAGGCTCTGAGTTCATAAAGTTCTCCACACTCTGAAAATAGTGCAAAAATAGTCCACATCTAAGGACATTTACCCTTGAAACTCCTTGGAGAGTGGCTTGGAGACTTTCTGTTCAGATTTTTGAGAGGGAGCAATTTAAGAATGCTGCAAGATTGCAACTTTCAAACACAGGAACATAATTGAAAGTATTTTTTTTTTTTTATCTCTCCCTGTCCTCTTCAAACAGTTGATCAGCACTCCCATTTTCAAAAATTCCTAATTTAACTGCAAGCATAAATCTTTTCCTCTCCCACACAAAAAAATCAAAGCTTTAAAGAATATGAAAATCAAACACACAGATTATTTCCAATAATCCCTAACTCCTTCCCAATTGGGAAAAGAAAGGAGAAACGAAGGAACACGAGGCAAAAAACCAAAACACTAGGGGAAGGAAGGCGGTGATCTGAGAAAGTAGGAAGGGGTCGGGGGAGGAGCAGGGAAAAAAGTCTAGCTGATGCTGACACTTAATTGGAAGGGGAGGGTGGAAAATATCCTGAAGACACAGGCTAGAAGGAAAGGACTAGATGGGACAGGGGCGCGATAGAGGAAGTCCACGCAAAAGGCCTACCCAAGAGGGTCACTGTGTAAGAAGGCAACACCAAAAGGGGGCAAGACTCCTCAGGAAGATTATTTCAAGGCCCCAAAGCTTGAGACAGGGCATGGGGAGACAGGGTGCTTCTCAACTGGCAACGCGGACACCGCATCAGACGTTTCGGGAGGCAAGCCTACTGCGAGGGGTGAGGGGTTAACTGCGGGGGTTCGCAGACGTGGAAGGGGGTGCGGACCCCGGGGTTGCGGGCCGAGAGCAGAGAGCAGGCCCACGGCGCATACCTTGTAGTAAACATCGAACTGGATGTTCTCGGGCAAGGAGCGGATGTCTCGGCGGGAGCGGATGTAGTTGTCCACGACAGCGGAGATGGCGGTGTTATAGAGAGTCTCTGGGATCCACTCTAGTTCCACGGCCGCCATCTTCCTTCCCTCCTCCTCCGCCTCCTCCGCCTCCTCCTCCCGAAGGCCCCCGCCTCCCTCCGTAGCGAACCCCTCTGCGGCCCCGGAGGATTCGGAGGGGCGGTGGCAGCCACGCGGGCGCACGGCAGAAGGCACGGCTGCCCTGCCTCCGGGGGCGAACTGAGGGACGGCGGCAGCGGACGCAGCCCCGGGTAAAAAGTGGTACCGAGAACAGCGGCTGGCCAGGCCAAAGCCTCACATTCCCGGTTTGTGAGAAACCCAGGTTCCGTCCCACCGCCGATCTCTGCAGGGGCGGGGCTGCGTGTGAGGCGTCATGACGTAAGCGCACGCCGACGCGCCGAAGGGGAGGAATGCGGCAGGCGGAAAACTTAGGAAGAGCTGGATACCTCCCACGGAGAGCGTCGTTTCCTAGTGGCCCGGGAGTGGAGTGGCGTGGATAGGGGTAGACTTTTCACACAGGGGAGAAATTATTACACGATATTTGCACCCCCCGTTCCAAGTCACTCGGGCGCATCGGTTACTTCAGCAGTTTCTCTGCATCACGGACTCTTTTGAGGCTCAGGTAAAAGTTCGGATCATCTCCCCACAAACGAGCAAAATTATCTGTACATTGAAAATTATGCATTGAGAAAATTCACATTACTCTAGAATTAGACTGCAGTTCCCAACCCAAGTTAAGAACCCGCGGTGCAGGAACTAGGGGTGATGATGGAAGAGAGACTTACTTTTCTTTGTATAATTATTTGCACCGTTTTAACTTTTTGAGCATGTTTCTTTATCCAAATAAAATTTCCGAAAAAAGAAAACTCCTGTCCCAGAACTTAGTAGGAAGGCTAGCTTGATTATGTAATTACAAATAATAGTAAGAGAAAAAAGGCTAAGTGATGGCCGTGATAGGACTTAATTGTATTCCAATTCCCAGAGTTACGCACAGTGGCGGCTTCAGGGGATTGATTGTTGAATAATTGGAAGTACTTGTTTGAGCTTCTTTCCTTCCCAGCCTGAACATTTGCTGTTTATGTAACTTAATTTTCTACGTCTGCAATTTCAAGAATTTGATGTAACATCTTTCCGTTCTAGGAATTTAACATGGAAATTATTGGCCATAATGTTGGTGAGACTATCAAACTCATAGTCACTCTTACGATGTAAGTCCTGAAAATAATGTCAGCGATAATAATGTCCTCATTGACATTTACAGATAAAAGAAGCGGAAAGTTTTTTTCGGTTTACCCTTCACCTAGTACTTAACTGTTAAATGGTTAAATAATTCCACAAAAAAGAAACACACACTATCTTCTTCAGTCTATATAAATTCTTCCTCTGTAATCTATGAACAAAGGAAAACTGTGAATGGCCTCAAGATCAGATTGCCAGATTTAGCAAGTAAAAAAACACAAATGCCCAGTCACATCTTAATGTCAGATAAACAAATAGTTTTGAAATGTAAGTATGTTCCATGCAATAGTTTGGCCCATGCCTTCAGTTCAGTCAGCAAATCCTTCATCACTTCTTAGACGCTGGTGCTTTTGAAGCTCAGGATTCCTGCCCCACAAAAAAAGAATAATTATCTATTATCTCTACAACTATTACAGGAGACATGCTTATACTAAAAACTTATTTGTGACCAGCCTGAGCAACATAGCAAGACCGCCATCTCTACAAAAAAATTTAGAAATAGCCAGGTGTGGCGGCGTGCACCTGTAGTCCTAGCTACTCAGGAGACTGAGGCAGGAGGGTTACTTGAGCCCAGGATGTTGAGGCTGCAGTGAGCCATGATCATGCCACTGCACTCCAGCCTGGGTGACAGAATGAGACACTCTCTCAAAAAACAACAAAAAACTTTGTTGTTCATCTGAAATTCACATTTAACTGGACATCTGTATTTTATCCAGCTACCCTACCTCAAGGGATCCGTGAATCCCCTGAAATTGAATGCACATGTTATTGGACATTTTGGCTAAATCAGGACCTGTAGTAAGGTCCTGTAAAGAGGTAAATGTATGTCAGACACACATATTGATTGCTGTGTAAACCTTAAATGCTGAGTATATTAGTCCATTTACACACTGCTGATAAAGACATACCCAAGACTCGGCAATTTACTAAAGAAAGAGGTTTATTGGGCTTACAGTTCCTCATGGCTGAGGAGGACTCACAATCATGGGAGAGGGCAAGGAGGAGCAAGTCACATCTTATGTGAATGGCAGCAGGCAAAAAGAGGCAAGCGAAAGGGGTTTCTCCTTATAAAACCATGAAATCTTGTGAGACTTATTCACTACTATGAGAACAGTATGGGAGAAACCACACCCACGATTCAGTGATCTCCTACTGGTTCCCTCCCACAACACGTGGCAATTATTGGAGTACAATTCAAGATGAGATTTGGGTGGGGACACAGAGCCAAACCATATCACTGAGTTAGATATTAAAAAATGTATATAGTCATAAAGGGGACTCTGGATGAAAGGGCCTCTTGATCCCTTATTCACTGCTTTCAGATTGAAAGTTATTCAGATTTGTGTGATGGACTAGGAGGTCCTGACCAAGAGCAGATAAACTGCTAGAAAGGATAAGACCCCTGAGAAGGACTTAGTCCTGGCAGTATTCATCACCTTCTAATTGAAGAGCCCTTGGGCCCTAAATAACCAGCATAACCAGTATACCCAGGTACTACGTTGTGGACCTTAGGTGATCCTCTGAGACTTGCTGGCTTCAGGTGCCAGCATGGCCACAGAGGGGTAGAGCACCAAGTAGACCTTTGGAGTTCCTGATTCCAGGTCTTGACTCTTAAATGGCATTTCTGACCTGCCCTGGTCCAGAGTAGAGCCCACTGCCATGACAGGTGAGTCTCTGGCCAAACAGCTTTCACCACACACTGGCTGGAGAGCCCCTGGGCCCTTAGGAAACACTGGTGGTAGTCTGGCAAGTACTTCCCATGGCTTGTGGAGGTGGTGGCTATAGAGTGAGGCTAGTCTCCCTTTGGAAAGGAAAAGGAAGAGTAGGAAAGACTGTGTCTTATGGTTTGAGAGCCAACTCAGCTGCAGTACAATAGAACACCAGGTAGACTTCTAACATTTTTTACTCTAGTCCCTGACTCCTGGACAGTACGTCTGGATCTACCTAGGGCCTGGGGGAACTTGCCACCTTGAAGGGAAAGACACACACCTGGCTAGCTTTGCCACCTGCTAATTGTAGAGCCCCAGGGCCTTGAGTGAACATAGGCAATAGCCAGGGAGTGGTTACAGCAGGTCTTGGGTGAGACCCAATGCTATGCTGGCTTCAGCTCTAACCCAGTGCAGTCATAGTGGTGGTGGCCACAGGAGTACTTCTGTCACTCCACTCCCAGCTTTATGTGGCTCAGGACAAAGAGAAATTCCATTCGTTGGGGAGAAAGTAAGGTAAGAGAACAGGAGTCTCTGGTAATCCAGAGAATTTCTCCCAGATGCTGTCCTTGACCATCAAGGTGGTAAGAGTCTGCAAGAACTTCACAGAACTACAGTGTTACTGGGTTTAGAGTAAACTCCCCCTCCCCCCCACCAGCTCCAGGCAGCTCAGCACAGAGAGAGACTTTGTGTATTTAAGGAATGTAAGGGAAGAGAACAAGAGTTTCTGCCTGGTAATCCATGGAATTCCCTTGGATTTTACCCAAGAACACCAACGTGGTACCTCTACAAGTCTGCAAGAACACAGCATTACTGGGCTTGGGATACCCCCTAAAGCACATACAGCTTAGATCACAGCACTGAAGTCCTTTGAAATATCTGGAAAGCCTTCCCAAGAAGGACAAATACAAACAAGTCCAGACAGTGAAGACTATGATAATACCCAATCCTTCAATGCCCAGACACTAAAGAACATCTACTAGCATCAGTACCATCCAGGAAAACATAACTTAACCAAATGAACTAAAGAAGCCACTAGAGACCAATTCTGGAGAAACTGAATAAATGAACTTTCAGACAGAGAATGCAAAATAGCCCTGTTGAAGAAACTCAAAGGAATTCAAGATAGCAGAAAGGAATTCAGAATTCTATCAGATAAACTTAACAAATAAATTGAAATAATTAAAAAGAAGCAGAACTTCTGGAGCTGAAAAATGTAATTAGCATACTGAAGAAGGCATCAGAATCTTTTTTTGGAGACAAGGTCACACTCGGTTACCCAGGCTGGAGTGCAGTGACATGATGTCAGCTCACTGCAGCCTCAACCTCACAGGTTTAAGCAATCTTCCCACCTCAGTCCCTTGAGTCGCTAAGACTAAAGGTGTACACCACCATGCATGGCTTGTATTTTTTTGGAGAGATAGAGTTTTGCTGTGTTGTCCAGGCTGGTCTTGAACTCCTGGACTCAAGTGATCTTTCTGCCTCAGCCTCTCAGAGTTCTGGGATTACAGGTGTGAGGCACCACACCCAGCCCAGAGTCTTGTAATAGCAGAATTGTTCAAGCAGAAGAAAGAATTAGTGAGCCTGAGACCAGCTATTTGAAAATACACAGTCAGGCTGGGTGCAGTGGCTCATGCCTGTAATCCCAGCACTTTCTGGAGGCTGAGGTGGGCAGATCACCTGAGGTCAAGAGTTCAAGATCAGCCTGACCAACATGGAGAAAACCCGTCTCAACTAAAAATACAAAATTAGCTGGGCATGGTGGCACATGCCTGTAATCCCAGCTACTTGGAAGGCTGAGGCAGGAGAATTGCTTGAACCTGGGAGGCGGAGGTTGTAGTGAGCCGAGATCACGCCATTGCACTCCAGCCTGAACAACAAGAGCGAAACTACAACTCAAAAAAAAAAAAAAAAAAAGAAAAGAAAAAGAAAATACACAGAAGACACAAGAAGGAATAAAAAACAATGAAGCATGCCTACAAGATCTAGAAAATAGCCTCAGAAGGGCAAATCTAAGAGTTACTGACCTTACAGAGGAGGTGGAGAAAGAGATCAGGGTAGAAAGTTTGTTTAAAGAGATAATAACTGAGAATCCCCCAAACTTAGAGAAAGATATCAATATCCAAGTACAAGAAAGTTATAGAACCCCAAGCAGATTTAACCAAAAGAAGACTACTTAAGGCATTTAATAGTCAAACTCCCAAAGGTAGAGGATAAATAAAGGTTTCCCTGACAAAAGCTGAGGAATTTCAACACCAGACCTGTCCTTCAAGAAATGCTAAAGGGAGTACTTCAGTGAGAAAGAAAAAGACATAAATGAGCCATGAGAAATCATCTGAAGGTACAAAATCACTGGTAATAGTGATTTTGATAAAGATAATAGAAAAACACGGAACATTATAACACTATAACTGTGGTGTAGAAACTACTTATGCTAAGCAGAAAGACTAAAGGATGAACCAATAAAAAATAATAACTATGACAACTTTTCAAGACATAGACTATAAAATAAGATATAAATAGAAATAACAAAAGTTAAAAAACAGGGATGAAGTTAAGATGTAGAGTTTATTAGTTTCTTTTTGCTTGTTTGTTTATGAAAATAGTGTTGTTATCAGAGTAAAATAATGGTTTATAAGATAGTATTTTCAAGCCTCATGGTAGCCTGAAATCAAAAAACATACAATGGGTACACAAAAAATAAAAATAAACTAAATATTATCAGAGAAAATCACTTTCACTAGAAGAAGACACAGGAAGGAAAAGGAAGACCACAGAACAATTAGAAAAGAAATAAATGGACAGGAATAAGTTCTTATCAATAGTAACATTGAATGTAAATGGACTAAACTTTTCAATAGAAAGACACGGAGTGGCTGAATGGATGAAAAAACAAGACCCATTGATCTGTTGCCTATAAGAAACACACTACACCTGTAAAGACACACATAAACTAAAACTAAAAGGCTGGAAAAAGATATTCCATGCCAATGGAAACCAAAAAAAGAGCAGGACTAGTCAATGGGATATCATCTCACTCCAGTTAAAATGGCTTCTATCCAAAAGACAGATAATAACAAATGCTGGTGGCCGGGCGCGGTGGCTCAAGCCTGTAATCCCAGCACTTTGGGAGGCCGAGGCGGGTGGATCACAAGGTCAAGAGATCGAGACCATCCTGGTCAACATGGTGAAACCCCGTCTCTACTAAAAATACAAAAAATTAGCTGGGCATGGTGGCGCGTGCCTGTAATCCCAGCTACTCAGGAGGCTGAGGCAGGAGAATTGCCTGAACCCAGGAGGCGGAGGTTGCGGTGAGCCGAGATCGCGCCATTGCACTCCGGCCTGGGTAACAAGAAAGAAACTCCGTCTCAAAAAAAAAAAAAAAACAAATGCTGGCAAAGATGTGGAGGAAAGGAAACCCTCATACACCATTGGTGGGAATGTAAACTCGTACAACCACTTTGGAGAATCGTTTGGAGGTTCCTCAAAAAACTACAACTAGAGCTACCATATGATTCAGCAATCCCACTGCTGGGTGTAGAGCCAAAAGAAAGGAAATCAGTACTTCAAAGAGATACCTACACTCTCATGTTTGTTGCAGCAGTGTTCACAATAGCTAAGATTAGATTTGGAAGCAACCCAAGTGTTCATCAACAGATGAATGGATAAAGAAAATGGTGGTACATATACATAATGGAGTACTATTCAGCCTTAAAAAAAAAAAATCCAGGCACCGTGGCTCACACCTGTAATCCCAGCACTTTGGGAGGCTGAGGCAGGTGGATTATGAGGTCAAGAGATTGAGACTATCCTGGCCAACATGGTGAAACCCTGTCTCTACTTAAAATACAAAAATTAGCTGGGCATAGTGGCGTGGGCCTGTAGTCCCAGCTGCTTAGGAGGCTGAGGCAGGAGAATCGCCTGGACCTGGGAGGCAGAGGTTGCAGTGAGCAGAGACTGCACCACTGCTCTTCACCCTGGCAACAGAGTGAAACTCCATCTCAAAAAAAAAAAGGACCCTGTTATTTTTAACAACATGGATGGAACAGGAAATCATTATGTTAAGTGAAATAAGCCAGGCACAGGAAGACAAATATTACATGTTCTCACTTATTTGTGGGATCTAAAAATCAAAACAATTGAACTCATGGTCATAAAGTGTAAAAGGATAGTTATCGGAGGCTGGGAAGGGTAGTGGGGGGTTGGGAGGGAGATGGGGTTGTGGTTAAAGGCTACCAAAAAATAGAATAAAGCCTACTATTTGACAGCACAACAGGGTGACTATAATCAGTAATAACAATTGTACATTTTTAAATGACCAGAAGATTGTAATTGGATTGTTTGTAACACAGAGGATAAATGCTTGAGGAGATGAATACCCCATTTTCCACGATGTGATTATTTCACAGTGCATGCCTGTATCAAAACATCTCATGTACCTCATAAATACATACATCCACTATGTACCCACAAAAATTAAAAATTTAAATCTTTTTGGGCCAGGCACAGTGGCTCATACCTGTAATCCCAGCTACTTGGGAGAGAGGCAGGAGAATTGCTTGGGGAAGAAAAAAATATATATATATGACAATGTGTGTGTGTGTGTGTGTGTGAGTGTGTGTGTGTGTGTGTATGTATATATATATATATATATATATATTTTTTTTTTTTTTTTTTAAAGGATAAGGAACCAGATGTGGTGGCTCACGCTTGTAATCCTATCACTTTGGGAGGCTGAGGTGGGTGTATTGCTTGAGCTCAGGAGTTCAAAACAAGCCTGGGCAACATGATGAAACCTTGCCTCTACAAAAAAAAAAAATACAAAAATTAGCCAGGCATGGTGGCTTGCAGCTATAGACCTAGCTACTGGGGAGACTGAGGTAGGAGAATTGCTGGAGCCTGGGAGGCGGAGATTGCAGTGAGCCAAGACAGCACCCCTACACTTCAGCCTGGGCAAAAGAGCCAGACCCTGTCTCAAAAAAGTATAAGGTCCCTGAAAAACAATTCACCATGAGTGTTAGAGGAGTCAGGACCAATAGGCTGGCAGCTATACTAAAGGTCAAAGGTCAGAAAGGAAGCATAGGCTCTAGAATTAGAATCCATTTTCAGGGTTGGGCCCTCCAGAACTGGCTGACTAGAGAAACTAGTGGAAACTAGGTCATTTTTGTTGTGGACTGTCCACAACTAAGGGAAGAAAGGTCCTCCCTTGCACTCCAGAAAATCAATGAAGCTTACCGGAGTGGGGATTTGAACTTAGTTATTATACTATGCTGCTTTCCATGTTTTGGACTAGAACATAGAATCTGAGTTTCTAGTGGTCAGGAACAGAACATAAAGGGGCCTATATGTGATGCTAATGGCCTTGGACTTTGTCTTGGAACTGATAGGCAATCCTTAAATCATTGTAAACAGGAAAGTAAACAGATCAGATTTGTGTGTCAGAAAGAAGATGGCAATAATCTATGACCAGCATAGAGAACAGATCCAGAATCATGCTCTCCCAGCTCCAGAAGGGTAGAATACAAAAGAGGCCTAAACTGTTATGGCCGCCTATAACATTTTAGACAGAGGACCTTAGTATCACAAAACTACCCTTGCAGTCCACCAAATCCCCTTTAACCCTTGGCTTTTGGTAGCCTCAAATTTGGCAAGATGCCTTGCACCACACAAAGCTATCTGAGACATTAATCTTGTCCAGAAAGACCCTGAGAATCCTAAGAGACTGTGATGCACATTGTGATAACTTGTTTTTGGTTTTGTTCTTTGAGATGGAGTCTCACTCTGTCGCCCAGGCTGGAGTGCAGTGGCCTGATCTTAGCTCACTGCAACCTCCACCTTCCAGGTTCAAGCTATTCTCATGCCCTGGCCTCCCAAGTAGCTGGGATTACAGACATACACCATCACACCTGGCTAATTTTTGTATTTTTAGTAGGGTCAGTGTTTCACCATGTTGGGCAGGCTGGTCTCAAACTCCTGAATTCAGGTGATTCACCCTCCTTAGCCTCCCAAAATGCTAGGATTATAGGCATGAGCCACTGTCCCTGGCCCCTACTGTGATAACTTTTAAGCTGAAATTTCCTTAAGGATCCCTTCACTGAGATGAGATCTAAATATTTTCCCCTTCAATCTGGGTGGATTGTGACTGCTCCAACCAATGGAGTGTAGCAGAAGTGATGCTGCATGCCTTCTGAGGCTAGATCAGAAAAGGACACTCAAAGGTCACCTTGTTATCTATAATACTCACTCTTGGATTCCTAAGCTACCTTGTAAGAAGGTCAGCTACTCTGAGGCCACCATGCCCGGAATGATTTGATTATATATGTTTTGGTTTTCCTCCATGGTTCCTGACTCATAGCTCCTGTGACCCTTGTAATTTCCTCAGTGACTAGAGCAAAACGAGTATCTTTTGTGAAAATATTTGCCCTTTTGTCCTTGGTTTCTGAAACAGCTCAGGAACAGCTCCAGGGGATAAAGATGAAAGAGTTTTGTGTTGCTTATAACAAGCCCCTTGCAACCACACCTGAGCTTACGTTAATGAGTTGGTTTTTGGAAAGCTTCTAGATAACCACTGGATGGGGGTGCTGCTTGCCAAGGGAACCAACCAAACGTTCA